TTTATTGCATTTATATTTACCATGAATAAAGTGCAATGTTCATCGTAAATGTTTTTGTAATTTTGCAGATTCTTGAAAACGGCCCGAGAAGCCGAAACGTTGGCAAATAAAGAAATACAATAAAACCGTATTTTATTGGTGACCCGTAACCTAAAATCTATTAAATATTACTTCTTTTATGTATTATATATGGTTATGGAACGTCACTTAATTACTTTTTGCAATAAACTTACGATTGACTGATGGTAGACCTTGTTTAATAAAGGTTAAATTGAATAGAAAGGAACGTTACGATGTGAATTTTATAGTGTAATAATTCAATACCTGTCATGGTTTAATTAAAAAAATAAAAATCTTCTCTGCAATCAAATTAGCAGAAATGAGTTATTTTTTAATTTAATTTCATAAAAGTATTCCTTTTTGACCAAACTTTAAGTGGAGTTAGAGGAAGTACAAAGAATGCCGCCCTCAGATCCCTACTTCCTGGTGGGCGGTGACTTACTTAGCTGAATATAGTTGTGATTCTCCACAGCCTTCACAATCAACTCATCATCTAATTAATAGTTCGATCTAGACAAAACAGCCATAGTCATCACTGTTAACGGCGCTTCCGACATTGACTAATGAACGTCAAACCCGATTTCCCTCATTGCATTCGCTCTTTTCACATCCTGTTAGATTGTTTGTTGTTGTCCTAAAGCTTTCTAAGATTGTTATAATTGCCCATATCAATAATATTGGCCGCGTTCGTATTCATGGTCTGTCCCATGATGGCTTGATATGCCGAGGACTCTCGGAGATCCGTCATACGTTAAGGGTGAAAGTGCGGAACCTGACGGGAATCGGTAATAGCTATTTGAACAGGAAGTGTCTCAGTAGTTTATGGTGCCATGGCAAAACGAAAATCAAAAAATAAATACATAATGAGTTGTACAAAAAACGTTCACTTACATTCCGGTTTGAGACATTTTGAATGTAAATAATAAGTTTAACAAATACAAATAAATTATAATATTTTTTGCCGAGGTTTCGGTCTAAGTTTCGGCAGGGATGATGAAACACAAGATAACAACCAAATATAAATAAATGCAGATTTATTATTAAAAATAAAAAAATATATATTTTATAATGCTAATAAATAAATTATTTTTTTTTAAAATATTTATTTAAAGATGTTTTCTTCATAAATTGAAGTTTCCCTCAGCCCAACTCCTTCATCAGTCGTTCCTCCACTTCTCCCTGTCCATCGCTTCCTCTTCCTCCAGCCCTCGGTCCGACATACTCTCAGCCACATCTCTTCACCTTCTTCTCCTACCCTCGGCCTCCCACTCAAATTCCGTTTTGGTAAATCGTTCGCTATTCATCCTTTTCATATGCCCATACCACTATAATCTTCTTTCTTCCATCATTTCTAGTACATTATTCTTAACTTCCACCCTATCTAATCGTCTTGCTTCTGATTCCCTAATAAAAATTTCGCGTCACTATATATAAGTGTAATATATTCATGAGGAGAAAAGAGTTCTATTTCTAGGACTGAAGAAGTTAGAGTTGGAACCAGTTTCTTTTGGATGATTATAATTAAAATAAAAAAATATATTTGCGTTTTTGAGACTCTATCCGATATCCTCCAAAAATATATCTCCACAGCTAGAAATCTTTTGCTCTGATTTCTCGAGAAAACATAAATATTAATTTATTATAAAAATACAAATAAATTATAAGAATTGAATAAAATTTTGTAATATACAATTGAGACCAACTTATTTTTTTATTTTAATTATAATCATCCAAAAGAAACTGGTTCCAACTCTAACTTCTTCAGTCCCAGAAATATAACTCTTTTCTCCTCATCACGGGCGAATTTACGGGGGGAGGGGACTTTCGAGCTGAAGCCCCCCCCAAAATGGTAAAATATAACCATGTGTTATGGAGAAAAAATTATATCTTAAAGTATTATTGTTCGTGTAATTACATTTAAAAGGACTTAAGGAATCACTTAAACACCATTTCATATAGATAGTTAGTTTCTTTCTTGTTTTCCAAAGTAATTATCGTCATTTTTATGAAAAAAAAGCTTTCGGGCTGAAGCCCCTCCCAAAATTAAATCCTGGATCCGCTAGTGCTCCTCATGAATATATTACACTTATATATAGTGACGCGAGATTATTATTCCTTGTGATGATTGATGGTTGGAAACTTTGTATTGTATATTCATTAATTTACACAGTGTGCTTATTCAATTTTACTTATACTGTTAAAAAATTATGAATTATGAGCGGATCATGTAGACACTATTGCTCCCAAATACGAGTCATCTAAACGATTGTAGGTTTTATAATTTATTACAAATTAAAATTATCGGGATCTATGTGATAGAAAGCTCTGAGAATATAATGTTGTATGTGGCCTGAAAGTGAGCATTTTTTATTAATGATTATGATGCGGCTCAGGGGTGTCCATTCCCCTAAGATCGTTGGTCCAGCACCTTCCCCTAACCCCCTAAATCAACAAGATATTTTATTGCTCTCTTCTTCTTATAAAGTGCAAGAGTTAGTAGAATTTTAAAAAATCGTAGATTATATACAATAACACATCCTGCAGTCTGTGCTCTACTTTTCCTGTCTTTTGCTTTGAACCTTTTTATTTCGAAAATTCATGACCTTGTCGAAATGTGACTCCCTTAAAAATTCATGACCTTGTCGAAATGTGACTCCCTCAAAAATGTTTATGGCGCAACTTGCGCCATGAAACCTCCTTCTGGGCACCCCTGAGGCAGTTCTACAAATATATTTTGATAATTATAATTAAGAAGAATCCAGAAATTGACAAAATTTGTGAATCTTTTTCCTTCTTCTTCACTGCCGAAGGTAGGGAAGCTTTATATGTAAGTTTGAAAAACGTTTTATGTTCATAATCGAAACGTTTGAAGGTGCGTTTAGACATTTCACAAACTATGGGAAAAACGAACATTTAAATGGTTGTTTTCCTATGCTAGTGTTTTCGTTTCTTGTTTTTTTATATTTTGGATTAATTTTAATGGATTAATGTTTGATGTTTAAGAGAACTAAAAAAAAAAGTTTGGCTTAGCGCTAAAATCGTTGTTTGTTAAGTTATATAGTAGTAAAGATAACTGTATTTCCTATAGTTTATGAAATATCTAAAAGTATCTTCAGACATCAAGGAACAAATTTGGTCACATGTTCTTAGTGTATTCCATGTGACCGGTATTAGTTCATTGATCCTATTTTGATGAAATTTTCAGGCATTGTACTAATTGGTACCTAGATGGTCCCTTAATCTAGGGAATTAAGAATCCTGTAGACTATAGGAAATGATACAAATCCGACCTTCTTAAACAAATTGGAAAGACCAATATTTGAGAAGTTTTTCTTGACTTCAACTTATTAAGGAATAAAATCCAAGTTATTTATATGGCCTAGAAGAGTAGTAATACAGATTTCCTTAAAGTTCTACTAACTTTGAATTTGGATAAAATCCTGATAAGTTATGAATGCTTTCAATAAAGGATGAAAAAGAAAATTAAGAATCAATTACTAAAATCAGCAATATTTAGTTACAATAAAAATCGTGTTTAATAATATTAAAGGTCCCAAAAATCGAATCTAACTTGCTTTTTCATAAAAAAATTTAGTTGATCTATTTTACTGGAAGCATCTTTTGGTTTTAATAATTTATTATACATTATAACTCATTTAATACCATAGCCAATATATTTTTCTTATTCTACACCAAAATAGTAATGGATTGGTATATAATAATCTAGAAATCGGGACAAACCAAAAACACACAAAAATTAGGTAATATTTTTTTAAATTATAATTTAAATGCCGCTACATGTGTCAATTTAAAAATCTGGTATCACTAAAAACAAATTTGGTTGTAATTGGTAACCCTCGCTCTATGATATTCTTCCCTTGTGACAGGGGTGCCCATCCTCCCAAGGCCGATGGCGCATAAAACTTCCCCCACCTCTTTCGCTATCTTTCTTAAGAAGTGCAAGTGTTATTAGAATTTAAAAACTTTTAGATTATATACAATTACATCTACTTTTCTTAGTCTTTTGTTTTGAATCTTTCCATTTCAAAAATTCACAACCTTGTCGAAATGTGACCCCCTGAAAAATTCAAAACCATTCCAAAATGTGCCTATCTCAAAATTCATAGCTCTATTGAAATTTGCTCCCCTCAACAATTCAATACCCCATCAAAATGTAGCCCCCTCAAAAATTTTGATGGTGCCATGAAACCTCAACCTTCTGGGCACCCCTGCCTTGTAAGTATAATAGACCTGGGAACAAACAATCTAGTTACGAAACCTTCTTAGAAAACCAGATAGTTTCTTGTCCAACCTTCTTCTTGTGAGAAATGGGCTTGAAAGCCTTCTTCAAAAAACGGTCTAACACAAAATTTTTTTAAAAAATTAGACTAGTAGTTTTATCTGAAAATAATATGTTCAAACAGCTAATCTTTTCAGTTTAATATATTATTATATATTGTTGGTCTAAGGCCATTTGCAAAGATCCCTCATCAAAACTAAAGCTGTGGTTTACATTAATGTAGACAATTTCCCTTAAAGGATCAATTCTCTTACCTTTGTTTTTTTTTTTGCAATGAATAAATATGATGTGTTAAAAACCATAACAGCTGTTTCTCATTTAGAATTAAATCCTTTATGACGTTAAAATTTTCTCTTTCAAAGAGATTATTTCTCAATCACATATTTCAGTATTTGTTTGAAATAAGATTTAAAATTCTGGAGTGATAACTGAGTATAATCATCCATTTCGACAAGAGTTAATATATATTATATATTGTTGGTCTAAGGCCATTTGCAAAGAACCCTCATCAAAATTAAAGCTGTGGTTTACATTAATGTTGAAAACTTTCCTTAAAGGATCCCTTACCTTTTTTTTTTTTTTTGCAATAAATATGATGATATGTCATAACAAGGATTGAATTAAATAAAACAAACACTGTATGCAAACTTATAAAAACATTTATTAATTTACAGATCAAATACTTGTGCAATCTACTAAATAATAATAATAATAATATAAAGTCAAACAATATTTTCAATAAATAGTAAGATATAACTAGACATAAACTACTACCACATGATCAATTTCACAGCCCACAAATCAGTTATAAATATATAATAATACTTATAAACTATATAAGTCCCTAATTATAAAACATATCTATTTGCTACAAATTACTTTTTAATATTTAAAAGCAGTGAAGATAAGGAATAAGTTTCATAAAATATGGACAACTTATAGTAAAAATAGAATTAATGTGGTGCAAAGATTTTGTCTTTGGCTCATAAATAAATATAATGTGTTAAAAACCATAACAGCTGTTTCTCATTTAGAATTAAATCCATTTATGACGTTAAAATTTTCTCTTTTTCAAAGAGATTGTTTCTCAATCACATATTTCAGTATTGGTTTGAAATAAGATTTAAAATTCTGGAATGATTATAATCATAAACTTATTATAATCATCCATTTCGACAAGAGTTATGGTTTTAAGGCCACTCTAAATAATTTGTTTTCTTTTTTTATGTACATGTGGTCTCTAATTATTTAGAGATAATTTTAAATTCATATTTTGGTAAAATACTAATTAATAACTACAGAGACTAGTCATTTTTAGTTTAATGGCACTTAAAGCCATGATTAAGAGGAGAATTATCAAACAAGGAATTTATTTACACTAACAAATTTTCAATTTTGAGAAAGATTACAGATAATCAAAATAATCTTTCATTATCCAAAAATCATTTCATGGTGGAAAATGCTATTTATTGTTTTGTTTTTCTAGTTAATTAAAAAAGAACTGTAATTTCTAAAAAAATATATGGTTGTATCACATTAATATCAATTTTAGTAGAAGATATTATTAAAATTTTACTTTATACTACAACAAATTTGTAATTTTGAAGGATATTTTAAAACAAATTTTCTGGCATGATAATGGTTGAAATATTCAGGATTGACCATACAAAACCTTGACAGTTAAAAATTGATTTACACCAGTAACCACTACCCATATAAATTACTGAATGATTAAAAATTTTAAAAATCTTGTACTAATTAATAAAAGTTCTACTCAACTACTTAGGAAGCTTGCAACACAAGCAATACAATAATTACTTATTATAATAATATAATAATCTGTTCATTGGAGGATTATTTATTTTATTTTATTAATTTATTTTGAGGGAAGAACCCCATACAAATAATATAAATAATAATAAAAGGTACCGCTGGAGGACTGTCACAAATGTTGAAAATTACTGAAGGTGTATTAAAGGAAGAGACACAGAGTCTCATGCTCTTTTTCTTATCGGATACTGAGGGGTACTTTCGCAAACTTAACCATTAATCAATATATATATCTGACAAGGTATACCTACTAACGAATGTGTTGAAATATTGTTTCTCTTGTTTGCCGATGATATGGCTATTCTTTCCTATACTGACCTTGTAAAAACAATTAATGCTCTAAATGGATATTGCAGGAACAATAAACTGATCATAAACATCAATGAAATAAAAATTTTGAATTTTGCATGGAAAAATGCAAAGAAACATAATAGTATATATTTAGAAGGACAACTGATTGGCACTTTCAATTACTTAGGTCTCCATCTGTGTAAGACTGGTTTGTTTTTGCAAGCAGTTAAGGGAGTAATCTCAAAGTCAAACTCGACAATAGGTACTGTAATAAACTTTTGTTCAAATGCCAAAAAAAAAACTCCTAGAAGGTGAAAAAAAGTCATCATTGGACGATTAAATTTGTACAAATTCAGGGATAAATTTTGATGAAACTATTATATAATTAGATTCGATCCTAAAAAATTATATTTGATGTGATACAACCAGATACTAATGGACAAATATCCCAAATTTGTGTCCAATCCTATAATTTCATTTACAATAAATGGTGTCGGATGATTTCTTAGAACTTTTGCAGTATCAGTTTAAAAAAATTTGGTAAAAGGTAGCCATCACAAAGACTAGAGAAAGAGACAAGCTTGCTTTTCCAGAACCATTATCATAAAAACTACCATCCCCTCTTTCTTTCCTGCATGATGAGTATGTTCTCGTTGAATTGATAAAGGAGACATTAGGAAAGTTGTATATTCCACTTGGCTGTAAAATAAAAATAAGAAATCAATTAATCTATTATTCATAAAAAATAATGTATTATATGATGTGAAGTTATCAGAAATATTATTATTTAAATATTATTTCAATTTCATATTATATTATTATGTTCTTTGTTCAGTCTCTATTATCTATTTAACAATTTAAGTTAAGTTAACAATCTATTGATTATTGTAATAAAATTTAAATTTTTATTTTAAAATACAATTCTTACTGGAGACCTTGAATGAATTTGATGATGTCGCACATCTTCATCAAGTGATATGCCTATGATGCTCAGTATGATGAAGTTGGATTGGAAACTTATATTAGAGATATTTTAAAAATAGCATAGATATAGCAAAAAAAAGTTTTTGTTCTTTAAAAAAATGAACTATATTCCAATTTTTATTTTATTTACTTAGGTTGTTTTGTAGCTTTTTAATGCTATTTACTTTTGAATCTATTATAATTTTTTTTATAATCTATTACAAATTCTTTATAATTTAATTTTTTTTCATTTTAAATATTTTGTCAGGGCTAAAATAATCAAAGTGATTCAACAACATGAATTGTCATATAATAAAGATAAAGTTATGAAGTCTTGTAATATAATAAAGAGTAAACAAACAAAAGATCTTGCCCTCTATGAAAAATCCAAAATTGGTAAAAAAATAATGAAAAAGAAAATTATATAATAAATAAATTATAATGTTGTAAGAAAATACTTTACTTAAAAAAGTTGACGTACCATGGCAGGTGTACTGTCTTGAAGTCGACAGAATGTCCTGAATTTTCCTTGATTAAATATCTCTTCCACCCTCTGAGTAAAAAGTGTTTCACCCCAAGGTAAATCCTTTAAATGGCTCATGAAACTTCTATTCTGAAATTCTTCAGGTTTCTCAATGACTAGTTCTGAGAAGATAGAATCATCATCATTTTCAAGGTTGATGTAAGGCTTTTTGACATCAATGTTGAAACCTTGCTTTTCATTAAACCTAAAGAATAGGCTTTGTGTGGGTGGCTTGGGATGCTTAGGAGGCCTGAAATATAAATAAAGAAAATTTTTTAAAAATATTATTTTAATTATATGTGATTTGAAATGTTGCAAAATATAAATGTTTGTAAATAACTTTAATTTATGAGATATATAATATGAGAGTCTTTTTGCATTTAATTGATAGACTTATCAAAAGTACAATCTTATATTTATGATATGAGGTAAAAAATAAATTAATTCCCTCAAGATTGATATAATGACTAATTTTAGCTTATGATTTGTAGAAGCATTTAAACTATTTGTGTTAAGTTTTTCTTTGACAGATTTTTAAACAGGCCTAACTTCTCAAATCGGACCGCTTAAGTAACAAGAAATATCTGTCATTACTTTTTTAAAAATCAAAATATTGAATTCTCTTAGTTATAATATCAAACTATATTTGTTTAAAGATACATAAATATTAAAATTAATATTTTATTGAAAAGCGTGTGAGGGATCTTACATTACGTTTAACTGTAAAAATGTATAATTAGGACATGTATAATTAGATATATAGATAGAAAATAACTTTATTCTGGGACACAGTCCCTTGAGAATAACAAAATTAAAAGATTACATCGGGCCAAAATAAAATCAATTGAAAAAAAGAAATAATGTAAAGAAAATGTAAGGTAAACATTCTATATACAAATACTATGACAAGGCACTTGTCACAAGGCACAATTAAGGGGAGGAGTAATTCTTTGGCTAAATCTTCTCCAATTTAAAATATAAATAATTATCTAAAGATCACATACTACCCACAGGATGGTTATCAAAATGTAGGAAAGTAATATATTTTGTCATTATCTTTAATTAATATACAACTAATGTTTATATAGAAAAGATCCCGTCAATCCTACAGTTGTTAATTCATAAGGAATTAACCTTTTTAACTAGAAATTTTCTTTCCTCCATATTATAATGCTTTGGATCCAAAAGCCATTTACAAACATTCCAAAAAACAAAAGAACAACAATATTCATAAGCCATCTAAAGAAATTTTGTATGCAGTTTAATACTCTATGGTAGTAATTGTTTAACTAAAATTTTAAAAAATTTGTAGTTTCTTTATTCTTTTTAAATTTACAATTACTTTAGCATTTTTCCCCTCCTTTTGTTAAAAACAGTTTCCTTTTTTTTATTAATTTTCATCCACAGTTTCATTTTTCTTCATAACATAGTTCTTATTTCCAGCAGGCTGTAGCTTAAACAGCTATATAATTTTTCATAATTGTGAGTTGATGGTTGATTGTAGTGAGTAAATAAAGAGAATGATGGTTGGGGTAATCAGTCAAAATAAAATAGTAAAAATAAATAATTCGATTTATTTTCACATTCGCCAATGTTTCGGCCTGAAGTTCAGGCCTTCATCAGGGCTGCTCTATCAACAAGCGTAAACACGCACGCTGTTTAATGTGAGGGATTGGCTCACAGTCCCCTGTTACAGTCAAGTGGCTTCAGAGATCTAAGCAGGTTATTTAACTCTTACTTCCCGAGACGGTCAGATGGTATGACCCATTCAGGTTAACTCATTGGTTAGCCAGCACAATACTGTAACCACAGGGTACCACGCGGAGAAGACCTGGTTTCATCACCTAGGTCTTGTAAAAACATTAATCGTATAATGATTAGAGATTATAAATATACTAAAACCTAAATAAGGTTGTTAATCATATATTTATTTTAATTTCAAACTGAATAAAATAGCATCATAGGAAAAAAGTGTTTATATAAAATATTCAAGATTTCTAAATATTCTAAGAATGTAGGTGTAACTTAAACAATGATGTGGTTATTTTTTATATTCTTATATTTTTTATAAATGTTATACCAAAATAAAATCTTTAACAAAAAGAATTTTAGGGCTGACAGATCTAGATAGAGATACAACTAAGTTGTGCAAATTTATAGAAGTATCTAAAATAGATTTTTAAAAATTGGTAAATAAATAATAATTTACATCCATACTTTCTTTCTATTATAATATAAAATGAGGGACTTCAAGAAAAGTCATGCGCTGATGAAAAAAAAAATTAAGAAATCAGAAAGCTACAATGACTGAATGATGATCAAATGACTGGATTCCCTGATAAGATAATTATTGTTTCAAAGTATTACTGATTTTCAATTGGTTATTTTTTAGTTGACTTGTATCAATCAACATTTATTTAAATTTCATGTTTATTAATAAGTTTTTCTTACCTTTTTTCAGATTGCTTCAAGAGTATTTTTTCAACTTCTTCCATATTCTGGTTATAAAAAGCTTTTACACCGAAAGTTTGAAAGAAGAAATCAACAGGTGTCATACTTGTGCAGCTGGCCAGGGCAGTCCTGGGATAGTATAAGAGGTAAGCCATACAAGTCTCTTCCTTAACTGCATGACCACCCTAAAAGAAATATTTAAAATATATTTTTAAGATATTTAAAATTCATACAATTATTGAGTATATAGTAAGTTTATAGTAATTAATTTAGAGAGCTGTGTATCTCAGTCAGTAAGGTACTGTGCTATTATGATCTGTGTCCTGTGTTTGAATATAGCTTTGGCAGATAAATATTTATTCTGTTATATCATCCATGGATCGATCATGAGGTTGTGACTCTCCTGGGGCATGCAGTCTCTATAAAGTAGGTACTCTCAATTAAAGAATTAATTATGAGGAAACCTCTCGTGGTTGAGTGGGATCTTGGTCAAATCACCTACTTGGACCTTCGCCACTTGTACGAAATAAAAAAATGAGAGAGAGGATTTAATTTTATTTTTATTTTCATCAAATTTTTTTCTTATTTTTCTTATTCAAAGATATGTTTTAATATAAAAAATGTATTAAAAAAAAGAAGTTCTAGTTCAGTATAGTTAAATTATATTCGTGAAAATGTATCTATCAATTAATACTTGCAACTGTATTAGAGAAATGTTGAATAAAATAAAATTCAAAGATTACATAATATAAAACAGCTTAAGAAATAAACTTGTTTTTTTTTAGAGGAGAGGTGTATTGTCCCAGGGCACCGAATGTCTAAGGCCGTCACTGAAAAGATTTATCTTTATATTTCTGTTTGATAATTTTAATAGAAGAAAAAAAAAAATACTTTTTCTTCATTGCTACTATAAATTATTGATTTAATGATTGTTCTTTATGTTGTTCGTTTGTTATACAATCATCCAGGAGACAAAAATAAATTCCAGTGTTACCTAACATGTTTTCCACATGTACATGTCTTATTTGACGATTAATACTTTTCAATATCTATGTGACGTCTCTTTACTTTAAATATTTCACCATTAATCGATGTCCTTAAATAATTATTATAATATTAATAAATAGTTGACACGTGTGAATAATTCGAATGGGAAACAAATGACAATATAATATGAAAATAAGTTAATGCAATGCATTATGAAAGAGAGGATTTAATTTTCTTTTTATATTCATCAAATTTTCTTCATATTTTTCTTATTGAAAAATATTGTATAAAGAATATATTAAAAAAAAGAAGTCCTAGTTCAGTACAGTTAAATTATATTCGTGAAAGTGTATCTATCAATTAATACTTGTTTTCAGCCTTGTACAAAAACCCCTAATGTTTGGAAAATTTTGTAATTGAATAAAATTCTTAAAATTTATGAAAATGGCTAAAATTGTAAAAGTGACGAGATTGATAAAGGCCGAGAAAAAAAAATAGTACAAATTTCCAAAATCATCAACACCAATGTTACTACAACCTTTGGAAAACTGAATTATTGCATAGTAGCACAGTCCATTGTATCAACTAATATACTTGATATGAATTATTTAAGACTAATTTATAACTAATATAATTTTGTACCAAAGTAAGTCTTGTGCGATTGAGAGTAGTATAGCTGCATTCTGTCACTAAGTCATCTCCAGGTAATACAGTAATTTCCTCTGGCAACTTTTTCGGTTGTTGGTAGCCTGGATCAAAATTTTTATCCTGAAACATAATTATTTCATATTTTTTATCGGTCATTACTATATTATATTCATAGTAATTTAACATATTATATAATTAAAATTTATTCATCAAAGTATCAAAGTAAGATTGAATTAATCAATCAAAAATGTTTAAGATTATCTTAATTTAATAATGGAAAACAATATTTATATGTAACAATGGCCGAAGGCTAACAATGAATTTTTATCTAATGATTCTTTACAAAAAAAAACAATTTTTTTTTATAACTATTTGTTAAAACAATAGTTACATCAAAGCGCACTCAATAATCCGAAATTTGTTAGTCTGAAAACTTAAAATAACTTCAATAAAAATTGAGAGAAGGTAGGATGGATTGAAAGTTATGTTCGGGAAAGGAAAAAAGAGGCACAAGGAGTCCGAGACAAATTTAAATAGAATTTCTGAAAATATTTTAGTCCACACACAATCATTTCTTAGAACCCCTCATCTTTTATAAAAATAAAATTGCAGTAAAGCGAGGAGATGCTATGTTTGTTTCAATTGTATTTGATAGGTACAGAGAACAATTTGTCTAGGGAACAAATATTAACAATAGAGAAGAAGTAATAGTAAACTACACTACAAAAAAAAAAAAAAAATTAAATTTTTTTAAAATAGAAAAATGATTTTCATATATACTTAATTTTTTTCCAGTGAATATACATATGTGCTCCCAGTTAATAAAGTTGAATCTATGTATTGAATAATAATTTTTATGTATGATAGGTATACTGTATATATATTGTTCTTGAAATATAGAAAAATATCTTTTAATTCAGTCTCAATTTTAATTAATCAATACAAGCAGCTATCAGTGCTTTGCATCATATACATCTAAAACATTAACATAAATATATCTTCAATAATATATAGTACATCACAATTCTTAATTGTCACATATGTCGCATAGTTTATGCCATATCCACTTGATGTTGTTCTTTCTAAATTTTTTTCTTTCCAGTCATTCATTGATTGTCATACTGTTATTATTGGAGGTGTATGTATATTAATATTTCAGATAATTATGGTTCAATGCACCGAATGCTCCTCGTAACGATAAAATAAAATTGAGACTGAATTAAACGGTATTTTTCTATATTTCAAGATTAATTTTTTATTTTATAAAGTTTTTTTTGTAACACTCTGTAACAGCTATCTACAAGTAATTAGCTCCAGTTATTAAGATTGCATTGTAATTTATTTTTAAATCAATCCATATCTCAAATGAGAATGAGATTTGTTATTGGATATATTGCACACAACAAATTATGGAAAATAGCCTACCTCTGCAATAATCTGAAGTTCTTTACCCTCTCTAATATGCCTTAAACGCACTTGCCTTCCAGCTGAATGTGTATGAAAACCAACAGAAACTATTTTTATTCCAGTTTCGGGGAACATCTGAAAGTGAATTTAAAATAAACTTTAGCAAATCAGTTTGAAAAATTATTAAAAAAAAAAAAAAATTAGAGATAATTGTTTACCAAGTTTGTACATTGGTTGTCACAGTAAGCTCTGCTGGTGAATTTTATTTGTTTTGGTGGAATAATATGAACACCAGTTGGTGTTATACCAGTGGCCAAAATACTGCTGTCATATTTTCTAAGATCTGAACTGTAGAATAACCTTAATCCAGAATTGTCTCTTACTGAAAATTATAAATAATTTTATAAAATTAAAATATAAAATAATAAATTGAATGTATTTTCAGTTTATTGTAAAATGGCATTAAGTGACATTTCATAACCTTAAATCAATAAGAAAATTGATGAATTTTCTCTTTGTAAAATAAGAAAATTTTGCACTTCTCTTTTATCTTTTGATGTATAAAAGAGATTGTGTCATTCTAGTGAACCTACCGTGTTTTACATCGATAAATAAGGTCTAAATTTGTCAAAATGTTCTTAAAAGTTCTGCTCTATCAAAAATGTAATTAGTGATTTTTTGCAATAAACCCGACGATAGACACATGAATAAGTGTATAAACAGTTGTCTCACAGTGAAGTAATACATCATTTAAATATTTATTTTAAAAGAAATAATCATTTGAGTGCAGAATCAAACATTAATAATTGTCAATAGATGGAGATCAAATTTCTGATTAAAGATTTCATTTATCATGATTAAAAAGACAAAAAAAATCAGACTTAAAAAACAAAAATTTGGATGAAATTACTAAATGCGAATAATTACCTCTTTGCATAGCAGGGTTATCATAATGAATTTCCAACATAAAATAAGTTGATTTTCCTTCACCTTCTGCCATTGGGAGTCCAATATGTTGTGGTAGTAACTGACCTGAGGATTAAAAGAATATTTTAATAACAATTGAAATGGTTTATTTATAAAATAAAATATTTTATTTATTAAATAAAAATATTTAATCATGGGTGATGAATATTCAAGAAGCAGTCATTATAAAGTTTTTATTAGTGCCGATGTTTCAACCCAAACATGTGGGTCTTCATCAGGGCTGAAAATTTTTAAATACAATCAGAGATATAATATTATACGACCGATGATGGTTAATAATAAACTATAGCGATTTATGGTATATGAATCTTAACTAATATTACTATAAACAATATTAAAAATGAAATATGGAAAAATCTGGTGCGTGCAACACACAACTTTCACTTACTTGGAATATAAATTATTTTCTGGCAATGTTAAGCTGTTATAAAATGTTTGAAGTGCATTTTAAACAGAGCTAAAGCTTAAAGCCTACACATAGCTTATGACCATCATAATTACAATCATTATGACCATAAAAATTACAAAAATCTATTTATAATATCGATGGTAGGCAATAAAAATCTAGTCACTCCATCTATTTTTATAAACCACACAACTTCAGTCCACCAACCAGTTAGCCGATTTGAAGGAAAACGTTTCTGTTCAGTGCTTGAACCATGGTTAGTAACAGAAAATATTACAAATTTTTATAAATGGATTATATACATTATTCTTAGTTTGTATAACTTTTTACATATTTCATTTTTAATAATGTGTCTTGTAATATAAGTTAAGATTCATGTAACATAAATCACTATAGTTTATTATTAAGAGTTATTGGTTGTATAATATTATGTCTCTGGTTGTATTTAAAAATTTTCAGCCCTGATGATGTCCTACATGTTTGGGTCGAAACGTCGGCACTAATAAAAACTTTATAATGACTGTGCCCTGAATATTTATCACCCATGATATGTAGAACAGTCGACTAGCTTCCTTCAATAAAAATATTTAATGTTGTGTGTTTAAGAATTATTTTATACTTTTGATAACGTTTCTTCTAAACTGAAACCACTCCATAGTCTATTTTATTTTTATTTTATTTTGTCAATTTAAATAAAATAAAATAATTATTTCACATGTTCATATATTACTAAAAATCAATACTAATAATAATTAACTCTGAATGTTTGTGTTAAATTGCAAAATAGATTTCTTTTCGCATGAAATCAAAAAATCTATTTTGTGAAAAATTGCAAAAAAAAAAGATATATTTTAGTACTTATGTAATTTAATTAGTTCAATTTTTGAATTTATTTTCATTTTAAATAAGATCGATAACTGATAATTGCACATATTAATAACAGGTAAATTTCTTCCAGAATTAACTGTTTTGGGTGGGGGGTTGAAAATATCTTAATAATTTTAATAATCTGGTTTAAGGAAATCATTTTGTTTTATATTCCTTACCTTGGCTTCCTGTAGCCCATACTATGACAGGTGTGTGGCAGGCAGTCCATTCCTTTGGCGTATGAGTATCGTGGCAAGGTGCGCCAGGGTGACTTCCGAAAATTTCAAACTGTGGCCCTCCAAGGCACTCGTAGAAGACCATCTTGGCAACCAAGGCGCTGTGCCCATCTTCTACTATCGGTTTATACTATTGGCAATAAAGATTAAACAATAAATATTGTTAAACAGAGATAAAATAAATAAATATATATATATCATTTTACTTACTCCAATGATATGGTGTTTCTTTGAAAGTTGAGGAACTTTGTAAATTTTGCACCAATGAAACGATGGCACATCAGTAGGGAGGGTAAACTGAAACAAAATAAAAATTATTTCTTAGAGCTATGGCCACTTAACATTACTTTCTGTACACTGTAACAATGAAAATATTAAATAGATCACTATAGTACAGTTTTTTAACATTGTATGAGAGAAGGATGAAATAACAACTAATGGGAGTGGTTACTAATGAAAAGTGGTTAGTTAGGAGGATACTAGATCAACTATAATTTTCATTAACAAAATGAGATTGATGAAAAATATACATTTAATGAGATTTTGATATGTTTATTTAAAATAAAAAACATGTGAGGTAGGGAAGCAATGTTTGTACCCTATTAAAGATATAAAATAATTCCTTTTAATTTTGAATACCTTATTTGCTTAACACATATTTGTCTGCATGACAAAAATTTGTCATTTTGCAATCACCAATAGCTAAATGGCAAAAATTTGTCAATTTTCGATTACAGAAAATAATCGATTCTTGTTCTTTTAATACTAAATAAATGAAATGATAATGTTTACCAAACAGAAATAAAGAAATGCCGGTATTTTGTGAAAGGCGAAGCAAAAATTTACTGGATGTGTAAAAACATACTGGAAGAATATTCGTTAAGTAATGATTAAGATTTCATTTTGAAATTTTCTTCCATAAATTGTGGGTTTGGCCTATATTTGTCATCGACTTACATATTCAGATTCAATCTAGAAAAATTTAGATTTAATTAAACTAGATACTTTCAATTACTTAATAGTTTATTTTTACATTTTTTCCCCAAATCATATTTCTTAAAATTGGAGCGTGAAATTATATACTGGGTTAACTGTATTTGGTCAAATATGGTACATTATTAAAATGTTAAAAAAAGTACTTACATCTTGTGCGATTACATCCCAAAATTTGTGTCCAACTAAATCATCCTGATGAATTGAAGAACCGATGTGAAAACCTCTAGGTCCAGACCATTCAATAGCATCCCATCCAAACCTTCGAGGATCATCCTCGCTTACTGTCCATATTAATCTCATTGTATCATTCTGAAAATTTAAGAACATATTATGAATTAATTATTAAGATTAAAGTATACTATAATTATTATAACCTTATGAAGCCTTTAATTATTCAATGAATAATTATGAATTATAAAATGAAAAATTGTGAAATTTGGTAACTAATTGTAAATATTTCTTTATTATTTAAAGGCTGCATAAAAAAATAAAAAAGAGGAATATATTAATTGTGAAATATCTTAATTAAAAATTTAATACGGAATGTTAAAAAGCAAATTTTCAAGAATTGTAACTTTTTTAAAAATAGCAATCATTCACTGAGCGCTGTATAATATCTAAATGTAAATATTTATAAAATGATTGTTGAAATATATAGTTTTTCATTCAACTCCAATGAAATAAGTGAGGACAACAATAATAAACTGCTTATTTGAAAGACTGTCACATGGAATATAGTATTTACATATAATAATGGAAATGTACTTACCACCAAAACAACATCTCCTTTTCGGTCACATGTGTCCCACGGTCTTGACACTTTAATTACGGTATGAGTTTCATTCTGTTTTGCTTCAAGGAGCTTGTAGTTCTGCGTGGAATCTTTCTGTGGGGAAGATCTGCCTTCTACACCATGACAGTCCTAATAAATAAAACATAATGATTAATTATTCTACTTGATCTATATTAATATTACTTGTTTGTTTATTATTCCAATAAAAATATATCAAAATTAACCTAAGATACATATTTTCGTTGTATTTGTAAACTAAAACACTTCTTATTTAGTCTAATTCAAGTTCATAATTACACAAGGGGAAGTGATAATGAGTAATTTACATTTAGGTTAATAGAAACCTAAAAAAAATTAGTAGAGTTCAGATTTCTGCCTTTCAACATAGAAAATAAAATAGCAACCAATTTAAACAACAATTGTATCAATAATCATTATATGAATATAAATCATGTAGGATAAAAACAAATAAATAATAGTTCAATCAAAATAGAACTGTCATTTATTTCTACATTCCAATGTCTTACTGCATAAAAACAGAAATCAACATTAAAAGCAAAACGATTAATTACAAAGTCTATTTTCAGGTAAAATATTTCACAAGATTGTTGGGGTTGGATTCAGGGGAAAAGTATATTGAAATTGCTAGGTAAAAATATAACGTTTTATTCACAATAATGGTATAATAAAATGAATTTATCACATTTGAATAAGACAGTAAAAAAAAAGATTGTGGAAATAATTCTTTCTTTTAATATTTTGATTCAGCCCATGATATGTGTATCCTATCAGTTGACAATGATCCATCAATTGCATCCCAAACTATCCAATCACACATTACAAGTCTTGAAGAATGGTATCAAAACTGGAGCATTAAAATAAAATCCCATCAAATTACTTTTACCCTTCGCAAACCTATGACTTTCTGCCCCACTGTTTCCTTTAACAATACCCCACTTATCCCTGTTGAACAAATCCGATACCTAGGACTCCACCTGGACAAAAGACTCACTTGGAATCCTCATACCAAACTGCAATGAACTAGAAACCGCTTGGCGTTTTCGACTACTCCAGCACTTACTAGACAAACGCTCTAAACTTCCAATTACTTACAAATGAGATATATATATTACTATAATAAGGCCTACTTGGACTTACGGAATCAAGCTTTGGGCTGTACTAAACCATCGAATTCCTCTCGTATTTGAAGATAAGATAATAAGGTAATATATGTTCTTAAAGAAAATTTAATATTAAATAGCTTTCTTCATTATGACATTTTCATAAAATGAAAAGATAAAGAGTTGGCGAGTCAAATAATGATAAAAATGAAATGCAAATTTTTTTTTTTCTCGAAATTATTGAATTACGATGACGGATATCACGGAAACTTTAGAATATACCTAAAAAACTAATATAACCATTTCTATTTTTGTCAGCTTTAATTTCGCATATAACATTATTATAGACAGAACGCCAAGTTTCAGCAATAGAAACAAAAAACTGAAAAAAGTTAACTTTTTGGATCGTGAATTCAGTTTTTCTACTTGAAATCCATGGGCATGGGGTAACTGACTATTATTTCACGTCTTAAGACTGTAAATACTATAAATTGAAAGGATTGGTAGCTTTATATATCTATACGCCCTCTAAGCCTATATATATATATATATAAGCTTACAACCTATGTAGAATCTCTATCTATCTTCAAATGGCCGCCATTTTGTATTTCAGCGGCTATATGCTGGCAGACGTGCATTTTTCTCATCAGACCGGTGGATACGGTCAATTTATAAGGACAAGTCTTAGTATGAAATATGACACCTTTTTTGCCACGGGCTCCAGGACTTATTATCCTTTACCCTTTAACACAAACTGGATTAGAGTTTATAGTTTTTTTTTGCACACATAATATGTGAGTTATTTATTTCCAAATATCGAATCTCGATTCAAAACATCGAATGAATTCGATAGTAAAATTATTATATTTTTCAGTGTTTTGAAAACAAATCCTGCTTTTTAATGAAGGTGTGCAACGATAACATCAAAAACCTTAGTTTAGTTCGTCACCGTACTAGAGTAGGATTTCTATTTACGTGCCTTGTGCAAGTACTCCCTTTGCTCTCCCTTCCCTTTCATTCGAAGTACCTGGATTTGGAATTCTCGACTTACCCATAGTATAGGAACCTTTCTTATCTTTCTTAGAACGGCATTTATTCCTCCTCCTCCTCCTCCTCAATTAAATTAAATTTATCATATATATGTACAGAATATATAATATAAATATATTCTACAATATAAAGGCGTACCGTGGATCACAGGCGGATCTACGGGGAGGAGAGGAGGAGCTTTCAGGCTGAAGTCTCCCCCAAAAGGGTAAAATATAACCATGTATTATAGAACAAAAATACTAAAAACTATCTCTTAAAGTATTATTGTTCGTGTAATTATATTTAATAGGACTTCAAGAATCGCTTAAACACCATTTCATATAGGTAGTTAATTTCTTTTTTGTTTAGAATTATTTAGAACACTAATATACTATTTTTATTTACAATTTCTAAATAAAATTAAATGCGTGGATTAGAAACCCCAACTTTACCCGTTGCCTAGAAACTAGAACAGTGAATCACACACTGTTATAATGTAATAGCTTCACTGAAACCTGCATTGAAAACTTGAAAATGGTAACGACAATGGAAGAAATCTTCAAGGATGAATAAAAAGAAATAAAAAACACTTTAATATATTTAAATTCTATTCATTATACAATTGATATTTAATATGCCAATAAAAATTACAGATAGAGGTGGGCAAGCAAAGTAAATTCTGATAGATGTTTTTTATTTGATACGCCATGTCTTCATAAGAACTTCATCAAATCAAATGATGGAGCTACCATTTTGAGCTTTATCTTCTCCTTTCTGTTAAGGAAATAATTATATTCCCAAAAAAAGTAAGCAAAAAAAAAGTTGTTAAGAAAATGAAACTGAGTATGCAATTGATTGCTAATTGTAATTATAATTTAATTGATTTTAATAATTAGGGAAGTTTCGAAATTCCCTAAACAAAAACACACAAAAAAAGTTTAGTTATCATACAGCCAATTTTAATTTATACACTTTTTAGTCTATTATTTTGAAAAAATCATTGTAATCGACAAAGATAATTATTTAAAATGGAGAACCTTTGTTTTTTTGGGGAGGGGGGAGAAGGGAAGAGTATTGTTTAAAAATTGAAACACTTCTAATTGATTGAATTTATTTATTGGTTCACTCATCCTCATTTAACGATTCATCGATTTAAGATACCTCGATCTTAGAATTGAATGAGCTCTTTTATCGTTTCCTGCTTGAGACAGTAATGGAACAGTTAACCTAAGGACTTGAAGGAGTTCAATTCCCTCGTTGACCTCATTAAGGGCAGGAAGGGCCATGTGCCAGGCTGTAGGTATCGATTAAGAGCCCTCGATATCGATACAGACCCTTCGAGATAGTAACTGTCACAGGTGAGATGGAGGCAGCTGTGTGCTCAAGAGCAGATGTGAGCCACGCGACACGGCAGCTGTTCTTCCACATCTGCCTCCTGCGTCTTCAAGGATCTTCGCTAACAAAGAGTCATCTATAGGTGGCGCTTCGTCCTTCGGGGAGTTCCGTCTATAATTATCCTGTCTCGATTAATTGCTAATAATAATGCCAAAAGAAAAAAAAATCGAAATCGATCAAAGACGGCTAGCTTTCAAGAATTTCACTTCCATAATTTATAAGAAAGTATTTATTATTTTAAAATTTTTTTTTATTTATTATTAATCAACATAACACTGAGTTATTTTTTCCAAAGTGATTTCTTATAGATTTTTTTAGAAATCGAGATACATGTCGATTAGTGTTGCCCAAATGCGAGAACGAGACGAGTCTTGGTCTTGCAAACTCAGTCGTTGTCATGGTCTTGGTCTTGCGCAAGATTCTCGCAGTTCCTTATCAGCTTATCGCTATAAAAATATTACTTTAATTTTTTAGATAGAATAAACCTAACTAAGCCCAATTGAAAAATTAGAAGAGTTAAATGCAAAAGTATATTGGTTATACCAATTATTGACATATAGTAACTAAAATTGACGATTATTAGTAACTATTTTGCCTTAATTTTTATTTAAAAAACAGATTTTTTTTTTATCAGTCCTGGTCTTGGTCTTGCAATAGTTAGGAGGCGTTGGTCTTGGTCTTGCAAAGTGCACGACCAAGACCGATTTTGGACAACACTAATGTCGATCGGTATTTAAAAACAACCCATGAATTATAAGGCGGCAATAGTTTTTTTTTTTTAAAAGAAAAGTTACGATATTTGCATTACTTAAGAATTAAAAAAACACATAATTCGTCAAAAATTATAAAGCTATATTAATATCTTTCAAAATCTTTTTAATCGAATTAAAATTAAAAATAAATTTTTTAAGTCTTGCAAACTCTTTAAGACGCTGATGTAGGGAAAATAAAATTTTCAATTACAAAATACTTAAATTTTCATTTCTAGCTGCTAAAAGTTTAAAGTGGCCCCTATTAGTAGTTTTGTTTATTTTATGTTTACAAAAATACCGATGTTCCACATTTTGATAGATCGTCTCCAGTTTCGATTCAATACTGACTAGCCTAATATTTCTGGAATCAACGACTTATTACTAACAAACCTTATTTTATTTAAAAAGAAATACACTCTCTTAATTCATATTTAAATCTCCTAAAATTACTCTATTTTGGCTCTGACTCCTAGAGACAATTCATATTATTTTTTTTATGAATCTTAGCTATCTTTATTAGTCTAGAACCAAAGTACAGCTGATCAGCCGTACTCGAACCCAGCCCTGCAGAATAAATTGTCCAATATCTTACACAGTATGTTACTTAACTCTTGCGAGGTAATAAAACTTAATTACCATAGTTGTTTGCACTGCAACATTAATATTATTCAAACATATAGATTGAATTACTTGTCGTATTAAAAAAAAATCCTGTGATGTAAAATGTAATGTTTTCCCTTGAGGCATGCAGCAATAACAACACTTATTTAGTACTTATACCAATAAGGCAATGCAATCTGGACCAGACTAGAATAATAAAAATAAATAAAAA